CTACTCTGTTCTTTGGAATCATGTCAGTAAGTTTAGCCCACAGTTAGACGGTGAGGGGGCTAAGCTTTACCTCCTGGAAGGGGGATTTCTACATAAATTATTTTGAATTCTTTTGTGGGTAAGATCATCTCATCTCCACCATTGATTTATTCAGTTATATATATCAGTGTGGACTCGTGGATATTTATTTTATTCTTTGGGTTATAATCTAATAGCACATTATTTATTCTGTTACTCACATTGTTTCAACTTTGGCCATTAGGAATTCCTTCATTTTGGCTTCTTGTGTCCCTTTGATATGACCTTTTCCTTTTAATTTTCAATTTTTTATAAATTGAAAATTACTACTTTCTGATACTGGAAGATGTTCTCTGGCTCTGGAATCAGCCATTTCTCCAAGGAGCTCTGGTTGCCTTTATTGGAAAATTGCACTTAGAAATCAAGATCTGAGTCTGGGAATGCCCCTTGCTACTGGAGTGTCACGGTTTTCTCTTGGGGATAGAACTAGAGTAATGTATATATCTGTAGTAGAATACATATGCTGTATACTGTTTACTGTGCCATGTATACATAAATAGCGATAATGTATACATAAATAGCGATGTGTTTCTGTGTTTATCCTGTTATATTAATATATATCCTCTTAATATATATTAAGAAAACATGTTCATACTGCTGTCTCTGACTTTAATGCAGTACCACAGGGCAGGCTTCATTCTAGCCTTCCCTTCCTGCTTGCCTCTAACTCTCCTCCTGACCAGTGAGAGCCTGGTTCTCACTGACCACCCTCCATTACTTTTTTTTTTTAAATTTTTAAAATACAGTATGTACCTTTTTAAAAAAAAATTATTTATTTTTGGCCGTGTTGGGTCTTCATTGCTGCGTGTGGGCTTTCTCTAGTTGCGGTGAGTGGGGGCTACTCTTTGTTGCGGTGCACGGGCTTCTCATTGTGGTGGCTTCTCTTGTTGTGGAGCACAGGGTTCTAGGTGCACGGGCTTCGGTAGTTGCAGCACGCGGGCTCAGTAGTTGCGGCACGCGGGCCCTAGAGGGCATGGGCTTAAGTAGTTGCGGAGCGTGGGCTCAGTAGTTGCAGTGCGTGGGTTCTAGGGCGCATGGGCTTCAGTAGTTGTGGCACGCGGGGATCAGTAGCTGTGGCTCGTGGGTTCTAGAGCACAGGCTCAGTAGTTGTGGTGCACAGGCTTAGTTGCTCCATGGCATGTGGGATCTTCCCGGACCAGGGTTCGAACCTGTGTCCCCTGCATTGGCAGGCGTATTCTTAACCACTGGACCACCAGGGAAGTCCCCATTACTTGCTTAACCTCAGTTTACATGCAAAGCAGTTTCGAACAAATTTACTAACTAGAGCATAGGTTGACATACAGGTTTTTTTGTATATTTCCTTACAGCTTGCAATCAAATGACTTTTCTAAAGTTACTTAGATCAGCTTTCCTGCCACCATCCTCACGATCTCACTTCAGTGTGCTTGTCATACGTGTGTGGTTTGGTTACATTTATTTGCCACAGTCTGCATTCCATGTTGGAATCCCCTGACACTGGGTGATTTTTAAAAAATATATATAGTTTGTATACATTCAAGTTCACTCTTCTGTACCTTTCTTTGGGTTTTGACAGATGCATAAATCATGCATTCATCACCCAAAGTCCATGCAGAACAGTCCCATCCCCCTAAAACTTCTGCTCTCCTTCCCCTCTGTAGGCAGTCACTTCGCCCGCTCCCCAACACTGACCTGTGTTATGCCCCTATAGTTTTGTCTTCTACAGAACATCATATGAATGGAATCATACAATATATAGGCTTTTGTGTCTGCATTCTTTCACTTGGCAAAACACATTTAAGATTCATCTGTGTTGTTGTGTGAACTGATAACGTAGTCCTCCTTATCACTGAATAGTATTCCATTGTTTGGATATAACACAGTTTGTTTATTCATTTCCCTGTTGAAGAGCATCTTGGTTGCCTTCAGGTTTTAGTGAGTAAGAATAAAACTGCTACACCTGTTTGTGTACAGGTTTTTGTGTGAACATAAATTTTTAATTCACTTGGGTAAATATGTAGGGATATGATAGCTGGGTTTTGTGGTAAGTCCATGTGTAACTTTATACAAGTTTGCCAAATTATCTTTTATAGTGGCTGTACCATTTTGCAATTCCACCAACAATGAACAAGTGTTCCTGTTGTTCTGCATCCTTGGCAACATGTAATTGTCTGTTTTTGGATTTTAGCCATTTTAATACGTGTGTAGTGGTAGCTCATTGTGGTTTTAATTTGCATTTTCCTAATGAGAAATGATGTTGAGCATTTCATGTGTTTTTTTGCCATCCCTATACTTTTCTTGAAGCTCTTCAGATTTTTTCGCCCATTTTAATATTGGGTTGTTTGTTTTCTTATTGAGTTTTAAGAGTTTTTTATACAGTTGACCCTTGAGCAAGGTGTGGGGGTTAGGGTCACTGATTCTCTGTGCAGTCGAAAAATCCGAGTATAATTTTACTGTCCTCTACAACTGAGGTTCCTTCTCTGCACCTGTGGATTCAACCAGCTGGGGATCATGTAGTACTATAGTATTTACGATTGAAAAACACTTGAGTGTAAGTGGACCTGCACAGTTCAAATCTGTGTTGTTCAAGGGTCAGCTGTATATTTTGTATGCAAATTCTTTGTCAGATATGTGATAGGCAAGTGTTTTCTTCTAATTTCTGGTTTGTCTTTTTGTTCACTTTATCTTTTGCAGAGCAGAAGTTTTAAATTTGATGAAATTCAGTTTATCACTGTTTTCTTTTGTGGATCATGCTTTTGGTGTTGTATCCCATTAATCCTTAATGTTTGGAAGGCACTGTGAACCAGAGTCCAGGGGTGTGGCCCTCATAAGTGTTCCTGTCCCTTCTCTGGGGATGGGCTGCCTTTTTCCCCCCTTTTCCTTTGTCCCCTGTTCCTTTTCCCCAGCTGTGATTGGTAAACACTAAGGTCAGTAGGCTGTGGTTTTGAAGTGCTTTTCCCTTGGGATTAAGGGTCTTATTTTATAGGCCTCCATCCCCTTTCCCCACTGTGTTGGGCCTCCACCAGAACTGTGTGCTACCAGCTTTGAAGGCTCTCTCTCCCTTGAAGATTTAGCCTTTTGTTCTGTGTGGAAGATGAGGGGAAAGGCTTTAGTTGTGCCTGCTGTTTCCCTCCCCCAGCCAGCACCACACGGGGGAACTTTCTCCAGTCTTCCCTGGGAGAACCTGCTTGGGTTCCAGGAGGAAAAGCCAGCAAGAATGGGAGCTCCCCCCATGACTGTGACACCTGCCACCCCCAGGAGCTCCATACTATCACACTTGCCCACACTTGACCTCTAGCAAGTCATTAAAAATTCGAGTTAATCTTCCTTAGGGCTTCTGCCTGAGCTAAGCAAATATACTGGTCCTGCATCTCCCTGAAGGCACCTGTCTCTCCAGATTTTATTACGGGGCTGTTTGCCCTGTGACCTCCTGTCTCTGACTGAGTTCACCAAAGCCATTAATTTTCAGTCTGTTCACCTTTTTTTCTTGTTACAAGATCAGGAGACGCATCTTTTCAGCTCTCAACATCTCTGAGCTGAAACCAAATAATAGAGTTTTAAAGGATTGTCTCTGATATTAGGTGATAATTTATGTGAAGTTGTTCAGTGGAAACAGTCATGAAACTTCTTTTGTTTTTTTTGGGGGGGGGCTGGCAAATCTGACTTGGTTCAAGCAAAAAAGAAATCTAGTATGGAGAGAGGTGAAAGTTTATTAATACTTGTGTGTAACATGTTTGCATAATATGAAATCTGTTTTACTTTAAAATTTAGAATGATGTAGGTATCTGAAAAGTACAGCTTTTTAGTCTATCATCTGTTTTTTCATATGAGTAAGGGTTTAATCAAGGAAGTAGAACCACTGAGTACTGAAGGGGAGCAAAATAAGCCACTCCAAAAAGTGCCACTTGCCTCACTCACCATGGTGCATGAGGCCCTAAGAACAGTATAGACAAGTTCTTCACAAGTATATGCTTTCTTAAGCTCATTCTATAATCTGGCCTTAAACTACTTATTCTGCCTACTTTCCTATCACTCATTTTCTCAATCAGCCTTTATTCTACTCATGTTTAACATCTTAACATTTCCAAATATTCGCTGTTCATGTTTTAGAATGTGTTACTCTCCAGGATTTTCACCTCTCTTTTTCTTGGCATATAACAAGGCCTAGCTCAAATATCACCTTTTTCCCCCCAAGTTGTTGGTAGCTATTGTAGTCAGAATTATTTGCCCTCTCTGTTCATCTTTGATTTCCAAGTGCCTAACATATTGCTTGGTATACAGTAATAAAGATTTAAGAGTATTTCATAGTCCAAGAAATTCTAGGACTGGGTTCTATTTTATTTTTATTTTTTTAGAAACAAATTTTTAAATCAATTAATTTATTTTTGGCTGTGTTGGGTCTTCATTGCTGTGCGAGGGCCTTCTCTAGTTGTGGCAAACAGGGGCTCCTCTTTGTTGCAGTGTGCGGGCTTCTCATTGCGGTGGCTTCACTTGTAGCGGAGCACGGGTTCTAGGCATGCCTGGGCTTCAGTAGTTGTGGCACACGGGCTCAGTAGTTGTGGCATACGGGTTTAGTTGCTCCGTGGCATGTGGGATCTTCCCAGACCAGGGATCGAACCCATGTCCCCTGCGTTGGTAGATGGATTCTGAACCACTGTGCCACCAGGGAAGTCCCATGGACTGGGTTCTATTTTAAATCAGTTGACTAAGTTCACTGAGAAATAAAAATTAAGAGATTTAAGAGGTATGTGTAGTTTGCTTTGGAATTGTCTATCTACAGAGTCCAAGTAACTTTAGAAAACTTTGTCAGATGTACTGAGTTATCCATTCGATTAGCTAACCTTAACATTGTGTGAAAGATTTGCATTTAATGTATGTTTTGATGTTGACTTGTGACAAAAACTTAATGAATTTTATCCTAAAGTTATTCTTTGTTTACACAGAGAATGTCTAAGCACACAGATGCAGCAGCAGAAGTCCTATTGGAAAGAAAAGGTTGTGCAGGAGTGATAACACTGAACAGACCAAAGTTCCTAAATGCACTGAATCTTAGTATGATTCGGCAGATTTATCCACAGCTAAAGGTTTGTAATTTTCTTAAAGCAATCATATGGATCCTTCTGAAAGTATATCCTTAGAGAATATTTCTGATATTCTCTCCCATAGAATCACTTGACTGTCTGCAATCAGCGCCCAAGCCCCATCGCTTCTAGAGTCCTCAGCGCTTTCCTAAGTGGTTTTCCTAGAGCACCCCTACTGACAGGGAGTTCATTGCCTCAGAAGACAGCCTCTTCCACTTTCATAAGGCTCCAAGTTTCTTCTTATGTTCTGCCCCTCTTTATTTTTCCCACTTGATGATATATTAGGCCCATATTTTTTCACCTTGGTCTCAAAGTTGGCGTGGCAAAGATTTCAGTTGCCATCATCAAACTTGGATCACAGAATGCACTCATCTAGCAACTTTGTTGAGATAGCCTCTAATTTATGTCAGAAAAGAAAATGAATTTGGGATCCATTCTTCTGGATATGCTTTATAAAGCTTATGCCGTATGCTTTGTATATATCCACATACGTCTGTATATACACATGTGTTTATGTGCATGTGGATATATCATTAATGAGTTTGTATTTATGATATGCTTATACCATCTTCTTTTACATTTGGATAGAAGTGGGAACAAGATCCGGAAACTTTCCTGATCATCATAAAGGGAGCTGGTGGAAAGGCTTTCTGTGCTGGAGGTGATATCAGAGGTAAAAACTTTTTTCCCTTCTCACCTAAATGTGTTTTTCCCCCAATAAAACTGATAAGGTATTAGCAAATTTTTGTGGTACTTTGTAATTTGCTTTACTTTCTAGAATTGTTTTTGTTAAACAGTTAATACATTTTTAGTGTGGTTAACTTAGAAAAAGAAAACATTTAAAGACTTAACCTCTTGTAGTTAATAGAAAAATGAGAATGGCAGCTGTTTTTTTTTTTTTAACTACATATGTGCCCTTCAGGTATCTTGTCTCTTT